ACCTGCGATCCTCCTGACTCAGCCTACTGAGTAGCTGGAATTACAGGCATAAGCCACCGAACCAGATCATAGAACAAATTTATATGTAATACTTAGTTATACAAAGCAAATCCATAGGCACTTTCCATATACTGGCTCACTTAATTCTCACAATAACTATATAAAATAAGTGTTATGCCATCCTTTATAGTGAGGGGACTAAGTTACTCTCAAGTTGCATTAGTACTAAATAGTAGAGTACATTTGGAACTTGAATTTCCAAAATGATGTTCACACAGTAGTCCACTGTATTTTCTTTTACTCATTTTCTGTCATGATAGGGAGTCCTAAGGAAAAAAAGAAATGTATATGGCTCCAAATGGTATTCACATTTTAAGAAGTCAAACCTGTTGGTTCTTAAATGGCTGGACTACATAATCAGATAACTTTTCTAGAAAGTGTTTCTTTTCTAGGGTCTCCAACAATAATTACCTTTACAATAATGTATATTAAAATTGTAAAATATATGTGCTGCAAGCCTTCTCTGAAAAGTACTTTTTCTTTTTTTTTGTCTTTTTGAGACAGGGACTCACTCTGCAGTTCAGGCTGGCCTTGAGCTCACTTTGCAGCCCAGGCTGGTCTCGAACTTGCAACGATCCTCCTGCCTTAGCCTCCCGAGTGCTGGGGTTACAGGAGTGTGCCACCACGCCCGGCTTCCAAAAAGCAATTTTTAGCTACTGTCATCAGTTTCTTTTTTCAACTTCACCTTAGTTCTTTTTGCTGAATGCACCAAAAGGCACTTTGGCTCGGTATATATAAAGCAAAATGCATTGTTGTATCCTGTAATAACATTTTCTTCCCCTCGCTTCAGTAATTGACACTTCTGTGCTCCCTTGCTTTCTAGACACCATCACTTGTCAAGGCTTCCTGTATCTGTCTTCTGTTACATCATTCTTCTGCCTCTGCTCCTTTCCCTTCACAATTTCCCTACCCCAGTTCAATCTCTTAGTACCACTGGCCTGGACTGTTACATTGCAGGGATAACTGACTGCTCTCCTTTTCCTCATCTTTCTACCCTCTTTTCTCCTTTTATCTCATATATAGGCCCAGGTTTGTCCTTCTAAACTAGTTGTTCTCCAATCCCTTTGGAAAGCACACTCTTCTCAATAAAAAATGCTTGGGCCTCAACTACTAGTATATGTATTTATTTCTGGATCACGTGAACATATGACTGAATGTATATGTACATTGCAAATTGTGTACATATAAAAACATGAAATTAAAAAGAAGTAGAAATGAAAATAACTTTAATTTAAATTTTTATTTGGTTTCTTAGAGGTCTAAACATTTTTGTTCTCCCTAGAATTGGACACGTTCCACTGTTTTTTAAAAATATTGGTTGAACAATTAGTCATGTAGTGATTCACAAGCATGTTCTAATTTCAGTTTATTTTGAAAATAAGTTTTAATTACCATCATGCTGACAAAGACATTCTCAAAGTTACAAGTACCAAATGCTCCATAAGTGTATTACTAAATCCTAATACCCATTTCCACCTGACAGATTACTAAAATTGTAATATTCAATTTCTTTGGAAATTCAGCCAATAAGTTCAGTGATGTTAAAGAGGTATTCTTGCAAGCTAATAGAAATCTATCGTAAATCTGTGTCTGAAATACTAATAAGTTAAAACCTCCAAGGTTTTAAAAGTATATGGATATAAATGTTTCATAAGTAATGATACAGTTATATAATTTTGAGGAAGAAACTAGTGATAGAAACATTTTCAGGCATCCATTTTTAAAATGCTTTCTCATTGTCAATGAGTCCTTGGTTGATCAGCATTGCATGTCTATATCTGTTTTCATGAGAAGCCACTTTGAAGATATCAATATGTAATACAACAAGCATGTTAATTCCCTACCACTTTGTTTGTAACTCCATACTGTCTGTACTGTTCCTTTGCTATTTTGTAAAATGTTGCCTGTCTGTTAATATTTTCCTCCTTTTATTTTTAAAATTAAAAAAAATAAATAAATAAAATGCTTTCTCAATAAAAAGAATTTCTTTGTAAAAGCAGCTACTTTTTGTTCACTGTGGAACACTGTCTTTTCCTAAAATGTACTGATGATATGTATTTATTATTTTAAGATCTAGTAATATCATAGTTTGTTGTTGGTGTTGGCGGCAGTATTGGGGATCAAACCCAAAGCTTGATGTATGCTAGGTAAGTGCACTGCTGCTGAGCTGCAACCCTAGCCCAGTAGCAGTTTTTTCATTAAAAAGTCATTTGTCTTAACAGAAAAAGGTCAAAAACTTTGGAACACTAGTATTTTTGTGAGAGAAAAAAATGTATAATTTGCCTTTAACCCGACAATTCTCTTAAATCTTTCATCTCCAAATGACTTGTGAACCTGTTGATAAAATTGATTTTTCAGGGTATCTCCCCATCTCCTAACACAGTATAAAGAGCCTGCTGTGTGTGTGTGTGTGTGTGTGTGTGTGTGTGTGTGTGTGTTGGGGGGTGCCAGGAATTGAAACCAAGGCCTTGCAAATGCTAAGCGTGGACTCCATCACTGAGCTATGTCTTCAGGCCCTGCCTCTAGTATTTAAAGGTCCTTTTATGTGTTTTTCTTTATTTGCTTGTCTTTATAAATGTAATCTGAATGACACTCTGCGGCACACAAATTCAAGAGCCTCCTCTTACCGTTTATGATGCTTAACCTCATGGACAGACAAGCGAGGATACAAATATTACTCCAAATAGCAGCTATCAGTAAAGTTCAATTATTTTGAAAAAATAAATAGAAAATATAGTATTTTTTATGTAGCCCAGAGCGGCATCTTATACATTTCCAGGAAAGAGCACATACACCCTCTTCAAAGACCACTGTTCTACAGCACCACTTAGGTTGCTCTACCCTCCTGCCAGCAAACCCTCCTGATCTAGCTGTTGTCCATTTATCCACTGATAAACCCAAACTCTTTCTTGATAGCACCACTGCCCCAGTCCCTACAGCCTTCTCCTTGGCACTGTTGAGCCCTTCATAACCACCCATCCTGTACGCATGGGGGTGCCTCTGCTCCTGCGCTGAAGGAGCAACCTTGGCCTCAGACAGCCTTTCTGCTGGGCACAGGCTGACCTCAGGATCTTATTTCTGTGTTGTGGTTTTTCTTCTTTGTGTCTTCATTTCTCAACACTTTGGTTGAATCCAGAATGAAAAATAATAAGAGCAAGTCCTACAGAGCTCACTCCTTGCCTACTGGGTCCAATAAATGTTAATTCATTTCATCCTCATAACTCTGTGAAATAATACTATTAACATCCCCATTTTACAAAAGATGAAACTGAGACAGAGGTTAGTATCATAACATCTCCAAAGTCACTAACTGCAGGAGGTAGAAGTGAATAGGTTTGACCCTAGACAGTCTAATTCCAGGGACAATTGGCCCTGCCTCAGGCCAGCTTGTCATGGCTAATTGTGGTAAGGGTGGATATGCATTTCTAAACCAGCTTGCAGCCAACAGCATGGCAAGTTAAATACATCATATTACAGTGATACATGCATACCCATGTCTATAGTAATGGCTTTATAATAGCTAAATCCTTGAAGCAGCCTGAACATCCATCAACAGATGAATGGGTAAAGAAAATATGGTATTTACACACATTGGCGTACTACTCTGCCACAAAGAAAGATAAACTTGAGTCATTTGTAGGAAAACAGATGGACCTCGAGACCATAATGTTGAGTGTAATAAATCAGGCACATGAACTTAAATATTGCATTTTCTTGTACGAGAAACCCAAAGTAGAAATAAATGAATGAAATAAAAGACACAACAGGAGGTAGGGAAATAGATCTTTTTCAAATGGGAAGGGGACCAAGAGGTGAAGGAAGTGGGGAGGGAGGGAAGGGAGAAGGAACATAAAGAGAATTAAGATGTGTCATGTGCATATACCAACTCCCCATGATGAATGTAATCATTCTGGACTGCAAACATGTACTAATAAAAATAAAAAATGAATAAATAAAAAAGGAACAGGATGGGGACCAGCTATAGGTCCTAAGCACATGCCCTCATGACCCACTCCCTTCAAACAGGCCTCACCTTCTATTTCCATCCCCTTCCTCAACAATGCCCTCGATTATGATCTCCTTAATGGACTACTCCACTGATGAAGTTAGAACTCTCATACACCAATCACTTTACAAAAGGTCATCCAGCAACCAAACCTTCAACACAGTAGCCTTTTGGGGGGACATCATATCCAAACTATAGATCAATGTAATGGAACTGAGTCTCTAGAACTGAGCTCTCCCATTGTTTTTTTAGTTGATTCATTTCAACAAGAGTGCCAAAACCTTCAGTGGGGGAAAAGGGGTGTTTTCAACAAATTCTGATGGGTGAACTTGATAGTCATATGCAAGGAATGGATTGGACTCCTATCTCAGAGTGTTACGGGAACAAAAGGGTCATATCCCATGGTGACAGAGAAGGAAGCAGACAGAGGAGGTAGGGTGCAACCAAATTTATTTAAAAGATATAAAGGCAAGGAAGTAAAGTTCCCACTAGCTGGGCGGGGGTTCTAAGAAGGATACCCACAAGGGCTTTTTGTCTAGGGACTTTAAAGGGATTTTTAGAAGGCAGCTAGGGCTGTTGTGTAGGTAATATAATCTCTACCCTGTAAGTTGATTATATATTTTTTAATGTCGAATCTATGTAATGTTCCTTTGGCGCTGTTATGGTTGATACATTGTGTCAACTTGGGGAGTCTAGAGGTTTGGCTAAGTGACTCAGCAGGAAGCCAGGGTGCTTACTTTGTATACATCCTGAACCCGTGGAAGAGGAGGGCAGGGAAATTGTGTGAGAGCTACACTCCCCTTAGGTGGGGGTAGCCTGTTTACAACGTAAGGGAGGGAAAGAAGCTGCTTGCCAGGTTCCTCCCTTTTGCTCTGGCTGTTTGCTGTTCGGCTGCCATTCCCCCCTTTGCTGTTGTTGCTTTGCTATCTTCTGCCTCGGAGCCAGCCAAGTACGGACTGAAACCTCCACAAACTGTAAGCTAAATAAACCTTTCCTTCCTTAATTTTGGGCGTTGGGTATTTTGTCTCAGCAACGAGAGAAGAGTAACCAAGACAGGCGCCCATTCAGGGACCATGCATCCTTGAGCCAGTGGCCTGCCTGATCATTCTCTGAGGAGGTCTCAGACAGGGGAAGGACACCTAGCAGATGTTTTTATAAGATCTCTGGTGGGTTGTGGCTCAGCAGATTCTATTTTGGGCTTCCTGACTCCATTTGGGGGCGGCTGTCCTTACTGTCTAATAGAATCTTAACTCCTGTCTCACTGATTCCTGTTACAAAACTATATGCCACAAAATGGATACTAATGGTTCCTGAGGCTTTGGGGGTTTTATCCCCAGCACTGAGAGAAAAAAAATACTGATGAGCACCAGATTAAGAGATGGATAAGGCAAAGTATGGGGCAAGGGATACAGAGCTTCCACAAGTGTCACCCTCCAGGAACTGCCACATGCTCAGCTATCTAGAAGGTCTCAAAACCTTGTCCTGGTCCTTTTGGGGTTTTATGGAGGCTTTTTATGTGGGCACAACTGATGAAATCACTGACCACTGATGACTGACCTATCTTTCAGTCCTTTTTGCCTACCTTCATCCATGGAGGTGGGATGGGGGATTGAGGCCAAGAAGTCCCAACCTCTGATCCTGCTTTGGTCCTTCCTGTGACCCGCCTCCATCGTGAAGGTAACTAGACTTTCTAGATACCAGTCATTTCATTAGTACATAATGGATATTTATCACTTTGAAGATTCCAGGGATTTTAGGAGTTGTATGTGAGGAAACAGGGAGGAAGACCAAATATGCATTTCATAATATCACGAAAAACAGCTGCTATTATGTGTACATCCTAGAAGATACTTCCTTTTTGCATATGATATGCTGAGTGTAAATCTGCTTTTGGAATGTGTGTTTTACAAATATGAGGAAAAAGTATACAGTGACACTTTATTCCATTTATCATTGCAGACGTGTGCTATCGGAGAAGATATTTTTCATCTACAATGATTATAGTGTGAGAAAAAAGTATGTTAAAGGCAATACTGACAGAACCTGGCCATATATTTATTTTATTTATTTATTTTTTTTAAAATGTATTTATTTATTTATTTTCCAGTACCAGAAATCAAACTTACAATGTCGCACTTGCCAGGCAGGCACTGTGCCACTGAGCTAAACCCCCAGCCCTTTTATATTTTTGTGGTTCTGGGGATGAAACCCAGGGCCTTATGAATGCCAAGCAAGCACTCTACCACTAACCTACATGCCCAGTTCAGCCCATAAGTTCAGCAAAGAGCCGTGTTACTACAGAAGTAAAATGTCAAGCCACATGCTGCTTCCTTTACAGAGAACAAATAACAGACAGCATGTGCCCTGACCCTGAACTGGAATTGACATTTGTATATATCATCAGCATAACTATGAGACGTCTTCTCAGCATGTTGTAAGAATAAATGGGCAATGAGAACAATACCGTGCTTTCTACAAGGAGGCCTACTGTCTATTGGGGTACTCTCGTCAAGTTTTTTTAGAGGAAGTGACTTAGAGTATTTCTTCATTGATCTTGAAATGCCTGTAGGAAGGAAGGGAGGGAGGAAGGAAGGAAGGAAGGGAGGTCCCGGGGCGGGGGGGAGGAAGGAAGGAATGAAGGAAGGAAAGGAAGGAAGGAAGGAAGGAAGGAAGGAAGAAAGAAAGAAAGAAAGAAAGAAAGAAAGAAAGAAAGAAAGAAAGAAAGAAAGAAAGGGAAGAAAGGCCTGTAGAGCTATTTCTCTCTTCTCAAGTGGATTATTGCAGGTCTCCGTTCACATTCTGGCATGGCCTGAACTTACACTTCAGGATGATGGAGTAACAAATTTTATAATTTGAGAGTGGGAATAAACTAGCAAAATTTCTTAGGAAGATGCAAACTGGGGAGGAATGGGGGCAGAGGGGGCAGGTGCCTGTGTGGTGGGTGTCAGAGTTCAGCTCCTTGAAGGGGTTAGGAGGGACGTCCCAAGGAAGGGTTGAGGAGGAAAGAGTGGGGGATGACATCAGGAGAAAGCTGCCCCAGGCTGTCTCACGGGATCAAAGGTTTGTGGGGGCGGGGGAACAGCTGGGTCTCCAATAGGTAGACCACTGTGCTGGCTGGGGAGGTGGCTGTTGGCACCAGGCCTTGGTAGGCAGGAGGTGAAGTCCTCACAGAAGTAAGGGGAGGCTGGACTTGGCACTGTGCCTGACACAAGGCTTGGTGCATCTCCCCAGCCTTCAGCTTTGCCTTTTTTTCTTTTTGTGGTATTGGGGGTCAAACCCAAGGCCTTGTGCATGAGAGGCAAGAGCAGCTTTGCTTTCTGAGTCCACTTCTTGGGGTAGGGACCCTCCTCCCCTCCAACTTTAGTGTTCTCTGACACACCTACCTGTGGCCAGGAAGGGAAGACGAATCAGTGCCTGAGCCTAGGAGAACCTAAACACTGGAGAGAGTTCATCTTAGTTTCTGGGACTTGCATTCATTTCCCTTGTATCCACATAGGGGTAGCACGGAACTCCCATTACATTATCTTTCCATCTGTGAATTATTGGTTGGGGGTCAGCCTGCCTTTCAGACCGACTGCTGACTGTCAAGGAATTCCTGAGCTTTCTACAGTTCTGTAGTGGCTGCACCCTCACTGGCTCCTGTGACATAGATAATTCGTTTACAGAAAGTTCAGGAGCCCTGGAAAAGAGAAGGAATAAGACGACAGGAGGAAGACAGAGACGGTAGAATGGAAGAATCTCACTTCAATTCTAATCCGTACTTCTGTCCTTCTATCCCCACAGTCTCAGGACAGATCGAGAACACAATGTTCATCAACAAAATGAAAGATCAGCTGTTGCCAGAGAAGGGCTGTGGGCTGGCCCCACCTCACTACCCCACCTTGCTTACAATGCCTGCCTCAGTGTCTCTGCTCTCAGGCATCAGCGTGGACATGGAGTCCCCATAAAAGTAAAATGTGCCTTTTGTTTGTGCTGTTCTGTCTGTGTAGTAGTCAGCTTTGCTTTCTTTTCCTGGGGCTGCTTTGCCTATAGGGCAACCAGTTGTGCTCCTTTCCCATAATAAACTTTCATTGTATTTTTGTTTTAGAACTATTTCTTGTCTAATTTCCATCTTACCTGAGGTAATGACCCACTCTAGCTGGCAATAAAGCCACAGGCCAGGGATACATTCATCTCAGGGATTGATGAGAGATGGGCTGGTTTCCAAGCTCACTCAGGTGGCCTCAGTCATCCTCAGCTGTTGTCTGGAGACTTCCGTCCTTTCCATGTGTGCCTGTCCTCTAGGGCATCATACAACATAGCCAGCTGGCTTCCCCCAGAGCAAGTGAGAGAGAGAGAAAGAGAGGGTGAAGAAGATTGCGGCCACAGTCTTTTTATAACCTAATCTCAAAAGTGACATCTCACTGCATCTGTCCTATTCTGTTTGTTAGGAATAAGTCATAAAGTCCAGCCCACACAGAAATGGAGAAGATTACACAAGAGCATTATGAGAGAGTAAAATATCCTACCTCAAAGAGATTTCTTGGGCATATTTGTAGTTGGTTATTTAGAGAAACTGAAGACATAGCAACAGCTCTGAAAACTCTGTCCTTTTATTTAAAAGAAACTTACATCTGTGTACACTAGTAAATAACAAATATAAGCAGAGACTTTTCTGTCTGATACTCTTTCTGCCTAGGAAAAATATTTCCATAGGAAGAAGAGATTGACAGTCTGACACTTGGCCTACAAGACAACCACAGGGGGACTCCATTTACATAACAAGGCAACCTCCGCTTATTGTGTGCAACCTTACTCCCACACTCCAGCCGTCAGTTACTTTCCCCTTAGAAGCCCAAGGCCTCATTCCTTTGTTAAGCTCCGTGTGAGGATCAACCAGCTCGCCCCGTCTTGAGTCTCACACAGAATGTGTGTGTGACTCTTGTGTGAAGGCATGTAATAAGGTTTGCTTGTTCTCCTTCCTGTTATTTGTCTATTTGTCAGTTTATTTGGTAAATTAAAATAACTGAATCTTGTGTAGGGAAAAGAGTAAGTTTAAAACATCCCTGTAGCATGAATATGAGGAAGCAGTGCTCACTAGAGCCCTTTCAGAGATGGCCTGCTATAGTATCCATATAATTCCATAGGCAAAGCCAAAGCTTGCCTGGAGCAAGCAGGCTGTCATAGGATTCACCGGGTCTTGGTCAGTTTAGTTAAGACTCCTCTACCAGTGATAGCCTATTCAATGGTGTCAAACTTACGGCACACATGCCCCAGCAGGCTGTTTGTGTCATTGAAAGCTCTAAAAGGTTCGCTCTGTGATCCAGAAGGCAGAACTTGTCTGGAATTATAGCTCAGTAGCAGAACATGCACTTAATGGGGTAGGATAGAAGAAATAGAGATAGAATGAAAACTGGAAAATGGTAACTTTTATTTTTTTGTTTTTTTGTTTTTTCTTCCAGTACCAGGAATTGAACTCACAACCTTGCCCTTGCCAGGCAGGTGCTGAGCTGCTGAGCTAAATCCCCAGCCCCCAAAATGGTAACTTTTAAATTGTACTTTTAGGAAAAACTGCAACTTCAGGACACAAAGTTACAGGTACAATGCTGTTTTCCCGTCCAGCAAAGTCACTTGAAAAAATTCCTGAGGCTCCTGAAGATACAATAAGCTTTCAGGTTAGGCCCATGCTTTTCACCTGTAAGTTGAGCCTGCATTTTCCCTGACACAAACATATCCTCAACAAACACAGCAGGACTCTTAAATGGGCAGCATATCTCTAAACTTCAAGCACGTGGAAACCTGTTCCACCAAACAGGTGACCTGACAGATGGGAAGAAAAATGACCTAGAGCATCCATCTTGAAGATACCCCCAAAGACCACATAAAAACTCCCAACCCCAGACCATCCTGAAATTATTTTCTGTGACAGACATCACCCCTACTTCCTATTCTGTGGATAGGGTGAGTTGAGGTCCCCATCTCCTCTTTGAGGGGCCTTTCTGATTCGGGTGACACCTAACATAAGCAAGACCCTGGGTGGGTTCAATTCTCAAAACACAACAAAGAACAACCAAAGGTGGATGGGAGACCTAGTAGTGATATTGGAACACCACAGTCGTGTCCCAAGGTGAGGAAGAATGAAACTGCAGATGGAGGTGGCAGAATAAGAGCAAACTTATTTAAAAGATATGGAGGAAGAAAAGATATAAAGGCAAGAAGTAGAACTCCCTCTCACTGGGAGGGTGTCCTGAGTTGGATGTCCTCACAGAACCACAGGGATGGAGTTTGGCCTAGGGCAGAGCAGGGGCTAGTCTTTGGGATTCTAGTACATGCCAGCATTAATAGGAGGCTATAGGGGATCTTAACTTTGTCCTGCTGCCATATGCCTTGAATGCTGCCAAAGTCCAAAGTCCTGATAGGTACAAGACTTGTAGGTCAAGTCTCCCAAAGGCACAGAATTAGTAGGCACCTTTAAGAACAAAGAGTGAAAACTAAAGTCAAAATGGATCAAAGATCTAAATATTAAAATAGAAACACTAGATCTACTGGAAGACGAAGTAGGTAGAAATCTTGAAGACATAAGGGTAGGCAGAGAGTTCATGAACAAAACTCAAACAACACAAGAAATACTTCAGAGAATCAACAACTAGGATCCCATCCAATTAAACAGTTTTTGCACATCAAAAGAAATCATCAACAGAGTGAAAAGAACATCCATAGAGTGGGAAAAAATTTAGTCAATGATCTCTCAGACAAAGGACTTCTATCTAGAACATAAAAAGAACTGAAAAAAAATCAGGCCCCCAAATTCAAAGACCCAATCCAAAAATAGGCATCTGAGATGCATACATACTTCTCAGATGAAGAAATACAAATGCCAAATAAATATATGAAAAAATGTTCAACATCATTGGACATTCGAGAAATGCAAATTAAAACAACACTGAGATTCCATCTCACCCCAGAAAGAATGGCTGTCATCAAGAAATCAACCAATAACAAATGCTGGAGGCTTTGTGGGGAGAAAGGAACCACCCTTCTCCACTGTTGGTGGGAGTGTAGATTGGTGCAACCACTGTGGAAATCAGTGTGGCGATTCCTCAAAAAACTAGGATTAGAGATCCCATTCAACTCAACTATTCCCCTTCTGGGTATTTTCCCAGAAGAATTAAAAGCATTATACCACAAAGGTATATGTGTACCCATGTTTATAGTAGCACAATTTATAATAACTAAATCTTGGAAACAACTCAAATGCGGTCAACCAAGGAATGGATAAAAAAGATGTAATATTTTTGCAGACTGGAGTACTACTCAGCTATAAAGGATAAATTCAAGGCTTTTATAAGTAAATGGATGCAACTTGAGACCATATTCTAGGTAAAATAAATCAGACTCACATGTGTAAACCTCATATTGTCTCCCTAATGTAAGAAACTAAAAGAGTAAATAAGATCCAAAATATACCGTAGATATTGTGAAAGGGGAGGAAATTGCTCAAAAGGAAAGAACAACTGGGATAGGGGAAAGGAAAACAGAAGGAAGGGAAAAGAAAAAATACCTATCCATACACAGATATATATATATATGTGTGTGTATATATATATATATATATATATATACACACACACACACATATATATACACAAGATCACTAAGATAATTATACTACTAATTTCTATTAGTTCATGAAAAAGAATGGTTTGTATTTATATTGCTTGATTAATTTTTCATGCCTATATCCTGTAATCTAAGCAACTACTTTGGAGATAACAATATGCAATATAGTAACTATTGTTAATCTCCTATTATTGTGTTTTGAAATCTGTATCATTGTTTTCTTCTCTTTAAAATGAAAAAAAAAAAAAAAAGAATAAAGAGTGAGAGTGGCCATAGACAAGGAAGTACAGATAAAGGACAAGCAAAGCTTGTCTACTTCTGGAAGTAGGCAGAGAAAGAACACAAACAAAACATCTCTATAAGACACTGACGTGGACAGTGTTTGCCTTGTGTGTGCAATGCCAGCCAGTGGCTCTTGGGAAACAAGGGCCCTGCCTGTTTTCCTTTCATGTCCTTTGATCCAGGCTGTCAGTGACTTTCTTTAGTGTAACCCACACCCAGGCTTATGCCAGGGCTGAGCTCGGCTCCCACTCTCCCTTTCACAGCATGCCAAGGAACTAACTTTTTCTGGGGACTTTTGGAGCTGACAGCAGCAATGAAGAACATGCGGGTATCTACCAGTTTCTTAGGTCCAAAGTATTCTTTTTGTAAAATGCAAGTCCCATGTTGTGGAAAGGGCAGAAACTCACCTCAGAGAGCAGGAGATTGTCAGTAAAAGTCTATACTGTGGGTATTTTTTCAAGTGCTTCCAAACTACATCTAATGTGATTCTGGGGGTTAAACCCAGGACCTCATGTTAGGCAAGTGCTCTATAACTGAGCCACATCTCTAGCCCCAGTGCTTAATTTTAAGAAACTAGCTAGATTCACTCTATTACTTTTAATCCATTCTCCATTAGTACACGCTGACCCAAGGGGACCTCTAGTTCAAATTCATTTCCCTGTGCCTATTACTTTTAAAGATATTTCTCCAAATTAGGCAGACAGACCTTGATCCAGAAGTGGTCCTGTGGGAGACTCAGTGTGGAGGGGAAGTGCACGGGCCCTTGGGTGTGGCAGACCTACTCTGAAATCAAGATCCTCCCACTGAAGTCCAAAGATAATCATCTGTGGTTGTGGAACAGGAAATAGATGTTTATGTGTGTCTCAAAGGTAAAGCTGGGGAGCTAAAAATATTGACAAAACCTTCGTGGGAAGCAGTTGGAGAAGTAAAAGGGAAATGGAAAAGAGGTCAATTGCTTCAATCCCTAGTACTGAAAGGGGGAAAAAAAGCACTTTCCAACAGTTACCATGGACCAAGCACTTTTGTAGACCTTGAGGAGACAACCATAAAATAAAACAAAGTTGTTGCCATCATTGTTATAATAATAAACCTATTGGTTAAGGACAGAGACATCAAAGTGACTACCAGAAGAAACAGTTGGAAGTCTTAAAAGAGCTGTGTTGGGGTTTAGGAGAGGAGCGACCTGGAGAGAATCACAGCAGGGATTCCTGTTAAGTCCCGCTGTTATTTGATTTAGAATTTTTAAATTTAAGTTGTTATAAACTGTCTGTTCTTTGCTAGCTATATATCCTTAAATTCCCTGGACCACAATTCCTTCATCTGGAAATTGGGGATGATACTGTCTAACATTTTGTGAGTATAGTACTGGGAATTGAACCTAGGACTTCACACTGAACCACATCCCTAGGCTTTTTCTAAAATTT